CACACACACACACACACACACACACACACACACACACACACAGCCATCTATCCCATGCTGTTCTGAGTTAAATAGTGTAACTAAATTTGCAAGGCAATTTCTAATTTAACACTATCTTTGTTATGGTAATTATAATATAAAAATCTCCCGTTGTGCCGCTGCAGAGGTTTGATGAAGCGCTTTTTCCTCTTGAGCATCTGAGCAAGTGTGTGAATTTTTCAAAAGGTATTTTGAGGATGTAGGTTGCGGGGGTTGAGTGTTGCAAGGTTGACAGGGTTTTAATTCTTTTCCTTCCTACCAGTGATTTTGTTATCTTCAGTCTAATTTGGTTAGGAAATCAGCCAAGAGGTGTATCAAAATGAAGCCTAAACATACGTGAGGTTACAATACCTGCACAGTTGCAGCATGTGTGGCTTTATGAATAAAGTTTGTTGTGAAAAGATGTCTTCAGAGTTGTGACTTGCCGCTCCTTCTGAATGACGTTTCCTTTGACTTTTGAATTCTGTTTGAAGTGGAGGCAATTGGTTTTTTTTGTAGGAGCTTAAAGGGGGACTTATTGGATGTTAGAAACTTAATAGACTCCCTGGTGACTTGAGCATTCCATATTCTCTATAAAGATTTCCTCTCTAACCGTCCAAGGATTTTTGTATGTTCGAAAGCCACTTGATGTGAGAACTCGGGCACTGATGTTTTCTTTATTACGTAGCGTTTCTTCTCTATCACCAAACAGCATATATAGGCAGCTAACCTGAGATGCAGCCCATTAGTATTTCATGTCCTGACAGAACAGAGCTCAAAAGTGGTGTCTCTTAGAAACAACATCCTAGAATTGGGAACAGAGTAAAACATTTTAGCATTATATATTTACACCGCCTACCCCTTCCTTTCTTCACTTTTCTGTACAGCTTTTCATGTTTAATATAAATGTTTGGCTTCGCAATCTCATACTTTGCGGGGTCGATTTCTTGTTTCTGTTTCTCCCACAGCCACGTGAACCATTTCACTGGGACTGTGTACCAGAGTGTTTTGCTGTCTCAGAAGCAGCCTCTCAAAGCTATAAGCATGGATGAGTCTGTTCAGCCCAACACTTCTCCTGCACAGTGGCCAGGTAAATCAATCAAAACAAACTTTTCACACCGAAGCATATTTTGGTTGTTTTCAGTAAACAAGAACAGTAAACAAGTCTTTACCAGCTCACCCTTCCTGTTTGTGACACACTGCAATAAATCTTGTTATCGGTATGCTGTTTTATTTCTGCGTCCCACCAACATGTCATATGTTACACACATGGTTATGTTTTAATGCTTTTGTCTGAATAATTCACTTTAGCTACCTTCGCCACAGGTATAAAGTACAGATTAGTTGATCTGATTAGATTTTCAAGTACTTTCCTGCATTAATTTGCTTTTAAATGAGGAAAGATTGAGATTTTTTTAATTAATTAATTAATTTCGATAATGAAACTGCTTTTAAGCTACAAATCTGTGCAAATTAATTAGCTAATGGACTAAGAACACAGACTGTGAGCCTGAAAACTCAAGAACGAAACATTGCATAAATGTCTTAATATCACGGGTCTTCCATACATAGGGGATTTGATGGGATTGTGGTGTTTCCTACTGCACAAGTTTCTAAATTAGTAAGATAAAAACTTTTTCTAAACTTCTCTATGAACTCTTAATTATGAACACTATTAATATTGTGACCATGCATGGCACACAACATAAATATTGCCTTATATGAATATCATGAGAAGACATAAGACACAAGGCAATATTTAAGTTGTGGGCTATGCTATGATACGCTGTATTTATTTCCTTGTGTCACGGGAAGACAGAGTCAATGTTCCTTTTGTTAAAATGGCTCGATTTACTGAAGTGCACTGAATTGTTATGCACTGTAATATTTAAACTGATCAAAGAGTAAGGATTTTGGGTTAAACTACTAGGATCATTTTTTGACGTTTTTTTTCTTAAGCTGTGTTGCAGATAAGGTAAATGCGCACACACACACACACACACACACACTACATCTGCAGGAGCTGTTCAGCCATCAAAACCCATGTCATGAAGCTCCCAGCTCCCAGTTTTTGTTCTGATATTAATGGAGGAGGGGATTTGGAACCAGCGGAGCGTTGGCAACTTTCACACATAATGCACCTCAGCACTCAGCAGCCTCGCTCTGTAGCTTTACATGGTCTGCACTGGCAGAGTTGCTGTGGTTCCTAAACGCTTCCACTTTGCAGTCAGACAACTTTCTGTTGATTGTGAAATATTTAGGACGGCAAGAAATTTCATGGACTTGTTGCAACAGTGGCATCCTGTTACAGTACCACACTCAAATTCCCTGAGTTCTTACGAAAGACCCTTTTTCCTTTTCTTTCCTTCTTTTTTTTAACAAATGCATGGCTAGGTGCTTGATTTATTACATCTGTCCCAGTGAGACTAAAAACTAAAGACAAAGATTAAGAGGTGTGGCCTAATACATTTGTCCATGTACTGTATATGATGTCACCAGACTCATTTAAAACTTTAAATGTATTACTTACTTTTTAGTATACTTCTATTTTCCATGAAATGTTTCTTAAAATACAAAAAAGATTGCTGTCTGTGGGGCTCAATGTTTTACTCAACAATTAGCAAATGTAGTTTTTTAGTCTATATTCAGATTCTGCTGTCTAAATATCTGTTTTTCTTTTTTTCTCTTTTTTTCCCCCCGCTGTCCTTTACTCGTTCCTCTCACCAGGTATCGCCTCTCTGATTCGTCTGTTGAGCTCAGCAGGTGAGGAAAGCCAGCCAGGCTTAGCTGTGCTGCTGTGTGAGATCCTGACTGCTGTCTTCCTCAGTCTGTTTGTTCACGGCATGGCCACTCACTCCTGCAACGAGCTGTTTCGCATCATGGCACACCCACTCAACAGCAAGCTTTGGGTGACAGTGTTTGGAGGAGGCGCTCGAATCCCTGTCATCGAAAAACTCAGCAGTCCAACAAGGACGCCCCCACCAGGTGATTCATTTGGAGGATGTAGTTTCCTTTGTGACACTGGTGTGTTCTTCTGAAGGTGACCTTGTAACTATAAACCACTTTACTCCTGTTAAATTAATTGGACTGTTAGCGTAGTGATATCCACCAACTTATTTGTGTGGGTGTGGGTTGCCTTAGTGCTTGCTACTGTTTGGTAGACCTGATATAAAGTTACTGTAAATATTTGGAAAAAATCTAGGCGCTTTTTTATAATGAGCAAAAGGCACAATCAGAAGCATTTTAATGGCAGCTTGAAAGGGCGATTTAACACACTCTTAACTTTCTCTCAACACTCCAGCCTCACCAAGTGGCACAGACAGGAAGTCCAAACGATTCAGGCTTCTCTCATCACGTAGCGTATCCAAGGAAGAGTCTGGGATAGAGAGGGAGGGACCATTGAGTCCAAAGCACCATGTCCCTGTTGTGGAACAGGAAGCTCCCTCTATCTTTAAAGAACAGTTCGTCCCTCCAGAGCTCAGCATTTGGGATTACTTCATCGCAAAGGTAATCCAAATATTAGTAACAGTGGTTAAGAAGTGGTTTTAAAACATAAGCCTGCATATCTGCTCTCATTTCTGTTGGGATTTTGTTGCATCTTCAGCCTGTATAATGATAGAATGACTTTTTAATATAACTTCAATTTAACATCCTCTATAATACATTTAATTTTGTAAGTTGTCTCTTCTTTCCTTATACGGTTTTGTCGTTGATCTAAACAATTTTGTTTGTCTGTCTATTTTCTTGCATTCAAGCCTTCACTACCACCGTCAGAAAACAGAGTTGATTATGACTCCGAGGCGAGCCAGGGAAGCGAAGATGAAGACGACGACGACGACGATGAATATGATGATGTGTTTGATCCCAACTCACCGCAAAGGGAGCATTCAAACCACAATTCGTACAGGTATTGGCACAGCACTGAGTGCATATTTCTCCAGTCAGTGACTCATTTTTGAGCTGCCAAGATTTAACCTGAAGCTCTTTACAGCTGCTTGTCTTTTATTTGTTTGTGCTGCCTCTAAATTTTTCTCCACTCTATCTGAATAAACCTAAATGTAATTTTTTAAAGACTCTATTTCGGTTCTAAACTGGTTTCTTCTCCTTTTAAGTTGGTGTTTGATGCGGCTGGCCATGGTTCAGCTGGTGTTGGCCAATCTCAAGTCTTTCTACCTTACGGCAGGATATGATTTGTTAGGTAAACACTAAAATATACGCCAGCCCCTCGGATGTACATCCAGGATGTAAAGAAGCACTGTCCTATTTCTTACTGCTTGTCTCAGCTAGTCTTATTGTCTTCTTTTTAACCACAGACCTGCCTGTGGCCTCTCCTTTGTGTCATGCTGTGCTGAAGACGCTGCAGCGGTGGGAGCAGGTGCTGCAGAAAAGGCTGGAGATCTTCGGGGGCCCCCCTTCCAAGTATATCTCCACCCACCTCCATGATGAAATTGCCACACCTGGCCCCGCCCTCCTCAGGCACAAAACCCTGTTTGAAGCATCAAATACCCCTTTCAGGTATTGAATCAGATTATTATTATTATTTTTTTTTTAACTTTTTTTTTGTCTTGTGGTTTGTTTATTTATTCATTTTTTTTCTCTTGTGTATCCACAGAGGTCCTCAGTCAATGCTTTGCATTTTCCCCATGTTTATTTCCACAAACCTGTTTATGTCAGTACTTCTTCATATATTTGTTATTTATTTTGGCATGTAAGTGAGGTGGCAGTGATTCAGTTTGTGGCCTGGGGTAAAGTTTTCATCTACAGCAAAGTAAACACATCAGCAAAAAAAAACAAAAAACAATATTCCCTGCTTGTGCATGCAGCTTAAGAGGAAAGTGCCCAACTGTCCCTGAATTGTTTACATTCAAATTCAGGCTATGACTCACAATGAACAGCAAGTACACCTCTGTGTACTGCTGATGTATACTGCTAATTAAAACACTGTCTTTAACAGCGTCCACATGAGTGGAGAAAATTCCGATTGGCAGTTCTAATAAATTCATTTGCAGAGTTCTTAGTGGACTCATGACTTACACAATTTGCATACTGATGGAGAAAATGAAGAAATACATCGGTTAATTTGGTTTGGGGAAAATGCTAAATGAAAATTTGTATTAAAGGTATTATTAATAATATTTAAAAGTGAAAGTAAAACAAAAGAAAGGAAACGGCTAACCTAATAATCCATAAATAAATAAATGTGGATAATTAATGGATCCAAGTCATCCTCCCTGCCACTTAGTGGACATCCAGCTGCAACAGTTTTGCTAACATCTGCTTCAGAACAGCAGACAGACAGAAGGATAAAGACATATTAATTACTGTCTGTTATTTACTTTTTTCCTGTTTAACTGGCTACTGTAAGATAGTAAAATTACAAAAATTGGGATTTTACTAACTCAAATATCTCTTATCTTTAATAAATTGTGGGGTAAATAGAAAAATATTCAGTAAATTCAAACAAATCAGTTTTTCTCACTTTTTTAGACCACCATTTTATCCATGTGCAGACTGACCCCGTTGGATACCACAGTAACATAGTCCATGGATTTACTGTTCTTTGAACAACATCATTCGTGATTTGTGATGTTAAATGCACATTACTGTTGACGATGTTCCTTTCAGGTCCAGCCACCACTCGGCGCTGCCAGTCAAACGTTTATGGCACTTTTTGGTGAAGCAGGAAGAAGTGCAGGAGACCTTTATCAGAAATATATTCACCAAGAAACCGGGCACACATCAGGTATTTACATCCTATCCCCCTGCTGCATGATTGCGTTGCTGGCACATTGTAATCATAGTCACTGAATAACACATTAACTATTTTGATATGATAACAAAATGCATCATTCCCAAGCTAAACTGCATTATTATTGCTTTTACATCCTTGTTATACTGTTTTTGTTTTGCATGCCAGCCTTTTTTTTTTTTATTATTACTGCCTCCAGTTGCATTATTTTCATTCAAATAATTCCACCTTTTTTGATTAACAGCACAATAATTGAGTCTCTGTATGTGTTTGCATGGCTTGCCACTGGTGGTGGTTGCACTTGTGTGTGTGTGTGTCTGTGTGTCCACCCTGTGCTGCTTCCCCTGTCATTAAAGTCGGTTGAGGACCAGACTGACAATATGAAATGTTCAGGGATGGACGAGACAGGAAACAATCAGGTACTGTTTCTGATGAATTTTTGCTCATGATGTTGCAGTGGGATGGGTTGCTAAACAAACCTCAGTATCTGTTGCAATATTTAACCAACTGAAAAATCAAAAACTGAAGCTTTTGATTTTTTTTTGCTGAATGTGCATCAAGAACTACATTCAGCAAAAGCTTAAATGTAGTTCTTGATGCCTAAGATTGGTACATACGTCGACAGTGATGGATACTGAAAGACTGCGGGTGATCAGATGCCTTGCAGGTATAGCATGCTTGCAAGAAATGTAACATTCATGTCAGATGTTGTGTACATTTTTTACAAGTTTGACAAGTCGGCTTCAAAAAAATCCTCCCACATTTATTTGCTCTTTTTTTGTTTTGTTTTTAGGTTGGTTTTTTTTTGTGGGTTTTGTTTGTTTTTTTGTTTGTTTTTTTTATAAATAAGTGAAAATCACTGTTGCTTCAAGGCTGTTTAATTGGTCACAGAGTTTTATAGTTTATAAGGGACTTAAATATGAGTTTTACATATTGTCCCTATGACACAACTGCAAACGTAAAGCTTTGAAGCCTGCAGTACCTTGCCTTTTTGTTTTTCTTGTAGCATGTTTATTCAGACGTGCATAACAAAGTAGTATGTCTGAGTTGACAAGACCCCTCTTTATGCTTCAGTCACACTAAGGAAAAACGGTTGTTGGCAATCGGGTGCAGAGAACTTGCAGTCTCATTGCTTTTGAAATCGGTGTCAGTTTGCTCTGAGTTTGTGATAATACAGCAGTTGGAATAAATAGGTAAAGATCACAAGTCTCTTGATGTCACTTGCAAATTTTGTTATCTACAAAGAAATTGACATTAAACATTAAGTACTTACATTCAGAGTTCAGTCAAAACCTCATAGATTTGAAATTCAGAAACTTCTCTACAAATACTTACAAGCTGTGCTTTTCATAGTATAACCAAAATACAACCAGTAGAGTAGAAGTTGAGTCAAAAAGGCGTCATAAACAAGTTGTGCTCAACTGAGTCTGATTGACTACAATGTGTCTGCATTTAGAAGTTAAATGCCAGTTATTTGCAGCCGATCCAGGTTGGACCGCAGTTGTTTGGATGTAATCTGTACAATCAAAATTTTTGCTCAGTGTTCGGGGGTTATACACTGAACCTGTGGCATCTGTTGCATTCATTTACCAACAGCAAAAACATTTAATGGTTTCTAGTCGCAGGGAGGTAGCTGTCCTACTTTTACTCTAGTGTGGCTGAGCCATTATACATGTGACTGTATGAAATGTAAATACCATATGAAACGAGACCATACTGTTTAATGCGGATGTGCACATTTTACGTCTTGAACCTGTCACGCATTATCTTAAATGCTAAAACTGTGATCAGGACCAAATTACAGTACATGTATTTTTAGTGCCATGTACCCTGAATGCTCTTGTCAAGAGTGAGATATTAATCTTGCATTTAGCTGTCTAAATATTCATGTGAATGTGAACCATCAATTTTAAATTGCACTGTAAACTGATGCTTCATAGAGGTTTTCTAATCTTCTTGCTCTCACCATGCAAGCTCCCATATTATAGCTACTCCATTTGGCTCAGTGTTAATTAACCCAGTCTCTCTGAGGACAAACTATGAAGCTGAATAGCTTCTGATTAATGGGCCCAACACTGTCGCAGTGAATCTGTATCCTACAGGGATTATGTGCTCGGCAAAAATGGCAAACCACCATATTTAGATTTCTGCAAGTCAAGTTATATTTTATTCCATCCGACAGAAAATGACATGGTCTTTTCCTCTCGAACAAATGCGGTGAAGACGTTAATTCAATCTCATGCTTAGAGGATGCTTGGCTTTGGCATCAAAGTGTAACATCTCTGTACAATATCCCACAGGACCACAGTGGTACAGTGTGTACTTGTGCTTATTGCTGAAGGGTTTTTGTTCTCATGCTGTCTAATGACAGTAGCCCAGTTATGCTGGCTGCTGTATTTAACAGTGTGGCCTGATGCACTGAACATGGCCTTTCCTAACCCTAAGGGCAAGACAAACGAATACATAAACATAAAATACACAAATTGCATAGCAGAGAAAACTGTGAGTACGCTTACCTAGATTTATGAGCATCATCTACAGCAAATAATTTGATAGTTCACTTGTCAACCCTTCTCTTGTCGGGTCATTGGTCCTGTAGCATGAAAGGAAACTGAAATTATGGCGGATATTTGTCTGCGGGAAATGTTTCAGTTGTAATGATTGAATCCGTGTGTATGTGTGTATTTTCTGCTGTCTGCAGACTGAGTCAGATCAGGGCAGCCCTGGAGGAAAAGCACGCATCATCCACAAGGAATCTGACATCATCACAGCCTTTGCCATCAACAAGGTAACAATTTGCTGACACAGATGTCATCGAACAATACGAAGTACTATGAGAATAAAAGAATGCATTACTCAAGCATGCAGCCTGTATTGGTCAATTTAATTAAACATTTAATATAAGAAAATTGCCATTAAATTGATTTAGTAATCTCTCTCTTTAAGAGAGTGTTTGGAAGGATAACTAAATAAACACAAAGTTTCCTCAGTGCAAAAGTATTGGAATCATACTTTTATCTATTGGAAAACTGTAATACAAACAAAGTTAACACCTTAAATAAACTGTTAAGTTTATTTCAGCTTGTTAAGTGTGAGGTAACCTTTTGTGGGAGTTAGACATTTAATGTGATATACACCCCCAGGATAAGAATCTCGCCTCCAGAAATCTTCCTTAAGAATATTTGTTTCTCTAATCAATATTTTCATGTGTGCAGGGGGTCAAACATTGTTGTCGGTTACGAGGAAGAAAATCACGATTTACTCTTTTCACATTTTCACATCCATATCGGATGCTTTGTTTACATGCGATGGATACCTTGTTTTTCTGTACTATTATAAAAAGATGGCAACTATTTGAGTCGATTCCCCAGTTGCAAATAGATGTGTGGCACATGAGTTGCATTCGTCGGTGCAAACTAAATCAGACTGACGTGTTCGCGCTCTCAGGGCTGATTGTGCAAGCCTTTTTATCTTCTGTGTTTTTGTTCATTTTGTTCAATGGTTCGGACCTGGTGTTAGTGAATTCTTCTCAATATTCATCTCTGTTCACATTAGTCTACGTTAGTCTGAGCTGTGTGTTTATCCAGAGTGCTTTATTAGTACTGGCTTCTTCTAAAAAGCAAAAATGGAGAAGGGTGGTTTTAGTGTTGGTGAATCTCTACATTTCAGATTTGGCACATGCATCCAATCCAATTTTATTTACATTGGGACTCATATTTCCCATACCCCAATCCTCTCTGCGCTCACTTCTCTCTCTGTGTTTCTCCCAGGCCAATCGTAACTGTTTAGTCATGGCCTCCACACATGACATTCAGGAGTTGGATGTGTCATCCATCTTGGCTACTCAGATCTTGACATGGATCGATGATGACGAGGCTGAAGCCAAAGGGTAAGACAGCAGTCTGCTTTTTACATATATATATACAAACAGCCATGAGTTCATCCAGAGTGCCATCAACTGTTCAACCTCGTGCCAAAAGAGCAAAATGTAAGCGTTGGATAAAGACACTTTAGATTGTGTACATGCATCTGCACTGCCTCTCTCTGTATAGCACAGAGAGCATCTGTTTTTATATACAGAATTATAAATATTAGCTCACAAATCACGTTAGGCGTTAAGGTACTTTGCAGGTTTGTTGTTGAAACCTCTGTGCATATCAGTCCGGCTGTTGCAGGACTCATTGTTAGCTAATGATGGCTCTTTATGACTGGTTTGAACCAGCCAGGCACCTCGTCTCATCACATATATCACTTCTTCTTCTTTTTTTTTTTTCCTCTAAGTGTGGGTGGTGACGACTTCCTGGTGGTCCATACACGCGATGATTTTGCCGCCATCCACGGCACCACGCCATACACCCACAGTAACCCTGGCACTCCTATCAACGTACCGTGGCTAGGAGGCATGCAGACGGGCAGAGGTGCCGCCGTGGTAAGCTCCCAACCTGGATTTATACAATAAAACGGCCAAATCACAAGGAGTGCTGTATTTTTGTTGGGTTCTTTTGTTTGTTTTGTGTTTACATATAAATAACATAATTGTGACTTTTGTTGTATAATATTGGGCCAATTTCAAAAATGTGCTAGTGTTTTAAAAGTGTTACTTTTAACATTTGCATTTCACCAAAACCTGATAAAACAGTTGTGAAATTAAAGTTGGCTGAATGTTCATCGGATTATCTAAACAAATAGATTTTAGCAGATTTCTGTTGTCTTGATGTTTGGAAATGATCAGATGTAATATCAAGCACAGTTTTTCACAGTTTGGCTCCATGAGCTTTCATTCACTACGCAGTGATAATGGGTTTATAATACTCCCTGCTGCTTTTGTGTAATTAATTGATGTTGTCTGCACTTTTTGTACTCAAAGCAAAAATCCTCAAAGCATAGCTTAAATAAATAATTCATTTTTGTCTCTGTCTGTTTTGCCAAAAGCGTTGCGGCTGCTAACATTAGCTCCTCTGGCTTACTGAGGAACTGAGATGGTGTTGTGAGATGTACGAGTCAAACGTTTCTGCTGTTTTTGTGGAAAACTGTGCTGATTTCTACCGAGCGGAGAAGGTTTGCTTTAGCAGGAGGGAGATAATTTGGTTCTTGTGGTGTCATTGAGTCAAGTAGATGCGACTCATGTTTGTTATTTCAGCTAGTTAACTTATTGCTCCTGATATGCAGACTGGACAGTAAGAGCCACGTTGCATCGTAAGTATTTTACCAACCAGTCAGTTTGTTCAGTGTCAGAGTGGAGTATATTTTGAGATGAATGATAAATGGAATCCTCGATAGAAAATACATTGCCATTAATTTCAGCCTCTCTCAGCCAACAGTCATGTTGCATATTTTCACTCTGATATACTGAGGCTCAGTAGGTTTTTCCTCCTATCATTATAATAGAACAGCCTTGTATTTATTCTTTAACTTCAAAGCAGGGTTTATTATTAGCTAACAAATTGACACACGGGAACTCTAATACTTGTATCAGTTTGGTATCAGATGATGAAATACAGTAAATACTAGGATGGTCTCTGTTGACTAATGTGAACTATGTCTTCAGTCTTTGCTTAAATGAAGGATGTAGTTAATGTGATGTCACCCATTGGTTTTGGGCACCAGATCTGGTAACTTTTTCTTAGAGACAGAAGTGATTAGCTCTGTGTGAACGCTAGAGAATATTTAATTGTGTAAAAATATATACCAGATGAGGATGGTAAGATATGGCACTGCCCCAGTGTACAGTTATTCATTAACTCTCATATTACACATGCCAGAAGTTTCAAATAATGGGTTCACTGTATGAACATCAGTTTCTGCAAGCCAAAACTGAGCATGTAAATGGCTAAAGTTTATGAGGGGCAGCCAATCAGAAGAAACAGTGGTCTTAAGGGAGAGGAGTAAAAATGGAATGCACCAAGATAAAACAGCTCAAAATCCTCAAAAAAAATTTTTTTTTAAAAGCGGATTATTTCTGAGTGCAAGAACGAATATGGAGTTACAAATAAATTACCCCTGAAAGAGAGTGTCAAACAGGAGGGAAGCAAAGTGGCAAAAGTTTTTTCCGCTCAGGCTGATGGGCTATTGTCCTCACCCCCCTGGGCGTGCGGGCAATGTGGTCACCTAAGTTTGTGAATGTAGTAATTTGAAAACAAGGTAACGTAGGATTTTCAAAATAATACCATAGGTGTGTTGACTGGGAGGCTGAGGGTTGGCTAATGGCAGTTGGCCAACCCTCCAGTATTTGATGCCAATATTTTTAATTTATCCGTCAGCTGCATGAACAAAATATTGAATATCAATTAAAATGTCTAACCTACAGCATGTGAAGACATTAAGTTAGACTTAGTGTCTGCCTTTTGGACTATAACGTAGACAGAATTTACTTTAATGAGAAAATGATAGGTTGTCAGTGGATTCACTGGAAGCAGGAGTAAGCACCTTTCTTGCTTTTGATGATCATGATTAAAGGGGTCACGTTAAAGTTAATCATCAGAATCTACATCATGTTATTTCTGAATGAAGCACGTGTGAGGGAGCCTTGTGAGAAGGGATTTAAAAATCATTCCTTCAAGTCATGTGACACCGTCAGGAAACGTGTATTTTGTGTAAAAGGGGCTTTAAAACAGCATAACACTGTTTCACTACATCTCTCTGCACTTCACCCGGTTTTAAAGATTTATTCTTTACCATGATGAAGCTCTGTTTTCTCACTGAATTTCTCCTCCTCCTCCTCTTCACTTTTCTTCTCCCAGATGATCAAGAGAAATATCAACAATGTGCGAAGAATGACCTCCCATCCCACACTGCCGTACTGTAAGTACAACTCCGATGTCTGTCGGTAGATTAGAAAACTATTCGCCTATTAAAAGTGGTATTCAGACATCATATATCTGCTGTGGAAAAACAGCCTTCAGGGGGTGATTACATACAAAAAAAAGTTTCTCTTATGTTGATATTCGTAAACTGGCAGAGCTGTTTTCCATTAGTCCCAGTGCTGCTAAAGGCTGAGTGCGCTCACTTTGCTGCAAACTTGTATTTTCCAGTCAAACTGCAGACTGGTGATGCAGCTGAGGAGTGTTTGTCTGGGATGAAAACGGCTTTCAATGAATTTAACCTGGTCTTCACTTATGTAGTAGATGAATTTGGGAACAAAGAAGTGCCAAAACCCTCCTGTTGAGGTCTGAATGGTCACTGGGATGTATTGGAAGATGAGCTGTCGTCACGTGCGGTTTTGTTTCTGTTCATCAGACTTGACAGGAGCTCAGGATGGTAGCGTGAGGATGTTTGAATGGGGTCACTCCCAGCAGATCATCTGCTTCCGAAGTCCAGGCAACTCCAGAGTCACCAGGATACGATTCAACCATCAAGGAAACAAGGTTACAAACTCTCACACCCCTCCTGCTCTGTGTACCAGGATAGTGAACACATTGGCCTGCTGACTACCGCCATACAGATGTCAGGCTATTCTTAGCTTTGCAACATGACTGCAGAGTGATGTGAGCCTGTCGCATTCGGAAACGTTTTCACACTTCCTCTGCCGTTCAGGCACGGACCACAGCGGGGAGGTTGGCTTCAGCACGCATTGTTCTTCAGCTCAGTGATTTAAACACTCTGAACTGAGGCACTCGCCTCAAGCTAATAATTTTCTCAGATGGTGCCTCTCTCGTGCCAGCGCTCTCTTACCTGCTTGATGCAGCCCAGAGCGCAAAATATGCTTTGAGAGGGCAAAAAGGAATGAGAGGATATAGAAAGCACTTTAGTTATGTAAGTGGTGCTTGGCCGTATGAGGCTGTTGACATGTTTTGGAGGACAAATTCACAGTGAGGGAGTGAGCACAAACATTTTTTAATATATATGTCAAATGCAATATAAGGGATCATTCTATCCTATTTACAGCAAAGTGTGATATCTGCTTTGTGCTTGTTTTCTGTAGTTTGGGATTGTGGATGCTGATGGAGCCTTGAGTCTCTGGCAGACCAACACAAGCGGGACTACACCGAAACCATACCTGGTGAGATGCTCGCAGCTCATTTAGCTGGTTTTTCTTCTATATCCCTCGAGTGTCCTCCTGTTTTTCTGTCGCACTTCTTTTTGTTTAGTCTTGTCCTGCTTTATTATTAACGTCACTGTCACTTCTCTGTTTCCCGCTACCAGACTCTGCAGTGCCACAACAAGACAGCTAATGACTTTCTCTTTGTGGGCTCTTCCTCCCTCATCGCCACTGCGGGTCTTTCAACAGACAACAGGTCCCACAGACTTTCCAGTCAATTTAATCCTATGCCACCTCTCATTAAACACTGAATCTGCTGTGCCTAATGATATGTTCTGTAATGAAAATGTTAGAAAATACTGTAATTTGGTTACTTTTGACTCTACAGGAATGTGTGTCTGTGGGACACACTAGTGACTCCTGCTAACAGCCTTGTGCAAGGTAAGATACTGCACCTAATTAGCCTATTTAGTAGTGTCTTTGGCATAGTTAATCACATGCTTCAATGGATTTTCTCCAGCTACTCCAGCTTTCTCCAACAGTCCAAAGACATGCATATAAGACTAATTGGTCTTTCTAAATTGGCAGTACTTGTGAATGTGAGCATGAGTGATTGCGTCTCTGTGTTAGCCCTGTGATGGACTATTCAGTTTTCTCCCCCTATGACAGCAGGGAAAAGGACAAGATATTAAATTAATGGAGGATGCCTTGCAGGCTCCTTGGTTATGGTTCACAGATTCCTGGAGATTGCCAGTGTCCCCACATTCAGAGCCGCTGTTCTGTAATAAATACCTTTTGGTGTTGGAAAGAAAGTTTGAAAACAAATTAAATCAAATGGCGAAAAACATTTAAGAACTATGATTGACATTTTTCTCTTCTGTCTACCTCTCTCTGTCCTTAGCTTTCAGCTGCCACGAGTCCGGTGCCACCGTGCTCTCCATGGCCCCCAGGCAGCAGCTGCTTATCACAGGCGGGAGGAAGGGCTGGATCAGCGTGCTGGAGCTTTCCCACAAGCACCAGCGGCAGAGCTTCCAGGCCCATGACTCGCCGGTCAAAGCACTAGCCGTCGATCCAACTGAGGATTGCTTTATCAGTGGATCAGCTGAGGGCAACATTAAGGTTTGTCAACTAGTCTTTTTGACATTTGATGTGTGATAAAATGTTTCCGAGTGGCATTTTTTTTTTCAGGTGTACAGCACTTGTTAATTTGTTTGCAAGTGGGAAGCAGACAGTTTGCTGTGATATAAATGCTCTTCGAGTTTCTTCTCGAAGGTTTTTAGTTTTACATGAGCTTCGCTGGGTACAGTGATCCTAAAAATCTATATGAAGAGACTTGATCATTTCCTCTACCCTCGTAAATTCGTCACTTGCAGAACTGTCCTCCAGGGCGTTTGGCACCCAGACGTGTATGTCTCTGTTGCGTTTATCGGTGGAGACGGTGACCTCCAGCAAAGCAAAAGAAATCCATTGTCACTTGTGATTAACCACCTGCTCGGGACAGCTGTGTGACTGATGGAGACTAACATGTAAGGTGAAAGTGGGTTGACACTGGGAAAGGCAGAGGAGAAGGCAGTAGGAGGAGGATGTGAATGTCTGCAGCTAATATATTACCAGAGACAGCAGATCTTTTTTATCTTTTTGACTTGGATATGCTGCTGCAGATCACACAGCTGTCACTCCAAGGATGAAGCCCCTGTGTCGCTCAGATGTAGAATGGTGCAGTGCACATCTGCTTGAAATTCAAATGACTTTCACTCTGGATAATTGCTCAGAAAAAAAAAAAACCTTTCAAAGCTGTGCGTGAGGTTACTCATCTAAAGTCTTTAAAAGCTTATAAATGTGCAGCACAACAGTTTTCAGTTTGCAGTCAGTCAGTATACAATTAAAGTGTTTGATGAGAGCTGGAACTTCAATAAATTAGATACCTTAATGAATCATGCAGCTCCCAGACTGAGAATACGAGTCAAATGATCCAAGTTGTTCAGAGCCTATCGAGGTCTTCAGTGGAAACTCAGCCATGTATTTCTGTTTTTTCTGGTAAAGAGGCCACAATACATTCTGCTGCAGTAGCACCCAAACCTGACCGTATTACATTGATGTTGTTTTCAGTGAAGAAATAATTCTTAAATACAGGCTTAAAGGGGCAAAGTAAGAATGCATGAAACAATGAAATGTCAACAGCGAGTTGTAGCCATGACAGAATAAAAGGTACCAAATTAATCTCAAGTTTGAACTGGATACCACTAAGAGCACATTTAAGTTTAAACTACATTAGTGACTATAGCTACAAAGGGATGAGAGGGGGGGGGGGGACAAATGTCCAACATCACAATAATAATCATAATCGTGATGAGACCCTGGCACTGCAAAGATTATTAGGACGGTTTGCTGTGAACTTGCTTTTGAAATAGTAGTTTTGAAGGCTTGGACCAGGTCTGCAGCCACTTGCATTCTTTGGAGCAACTTTCATGCATTAAGATGGCAATAAAACAGAAGCTGGCAATTACATACATTTTGAAACAGAAATTCAGAAAATCATCCGCAAACAGTGACCCAGTTGCTGCAGGATGGTTACTAACTGTAAGTCATAGGACATAGTTGCTTAGTAACCTTGCTTTTATACAGGAATATAAACAAGGATGCAATCAGTTGGCAACCAGTTGAGTTGAATCTCCTACTGCACATTGAGACACGTCGCAGACAAGTTGCGCTCATTGATTCACATGAATTTAAACATGCTGGAATTGGCATTTCTAAATTGGAACCTTCACCAGTTTGTCTGAGACTGATTCCAGTCGGAGTCAGAACGTGATTGTTCGATGGTCGAGTGTGTTGCACACTCAACACACAAGTAACAGAGTTACTTGTAGAAAGCAAAGAATTCAGCACAATCATCAAATTAAGAAGCAGTTTGTGACTTTTTTATCTTGGAGTTAGAGCATCGGAGAGAATTTATGGCAAAAGATATTTGGTTTGGGGGATTTTAATTAATTTTTTTATACTGGTCATGTTTTTTTAATCAGAGAATGAGCTTCATCAGGTTCTTAGAAGGTTCAGTTCATTCAGGTTTGGTCCTGTTTATAGATGTTTTTATAGAGACGCATTCTCCCTTTGACTGAAACAAACTCCATTAAACTGTCCTGTTTCTGATTTTTCAAATCTTCCCTGCTTCCTCCAGGTTTGGAGCCTGACCACGCATAGCCTCCTTTACACCTTTCCCAACGAACACGCTCGCCAGTCGCTGTTCAGGAACCTCGGCACAGGTGTGATGCAGCTCGAAGTGGGACCAGCTAACTACATCTTCTCCTGCGGCGCCGACGGTACCATGAAGATGAGGATCCTCCCGAACCGCTTCAGCGTTACGAACAACAACCACGGCAACCTCAAGAACGATGTGAAATTCTTCATATAGACAGAAAAGTGTGGCATTAAAACAGTTTATGTGAGCAGAGGCACGATTTGTGAAGTGCGTGTCATACGTGATTGGAAAAATGGCAACTGATTCATTTCTAGGATTTATAGACTTTCACAGAAGGGAGCGCTCGCCAGTTGATCGGGCGTGACCGTGCTGTATCACCTGTTGTGATCCACCTGAATCCAAATTTGACTTTAAAGCTAACCAAACACAGGAGCTTTTACAAGTGTTTTAAAATGTAGAGAAAGGCAAATGCAGGCTAATGTGCACGGGACACCTTCAGTCAGAATCAGCTGAAGGAGAGACAAAATAAGCAGCTGGAGACTCTGCACAAAACAGCCATCTCTGTCTCCACCGAACAACACAGGGAGAGCACTTTTTGCACAGAAAGTGAAAGCTGTAGGAGCAGGTGTGAAGTCTAAACCTGCAGCATTGTTTCACTTATACAAGATACGTTTTAGTTTGTATTAGGAAATCAGTTGTGATGATGGCAAAAGCTCTTCTGGAAGCATTCAGGTGATCACTTTCAGAGCCCTCGGCACAAAGCGGAACAGTCGGTGGACGTTCAAAGCACATCATATCCAGTTCTGGTGCTCCAGATAAACCAGCTTGGTTGGAGTAGCAGAGGATCAGGACGCTTCACAGCCTCCTAGTGTTATGTTGCTGCTGTGTTTAGTTTTAGGCACCTTTCTGTAACCCAGCTGCAATTGAAATGAACGCAGGATTTATAACTATGGTACCAATAAACATGGTTCATGAATTTAAAGCAGCGGCTTAACATATTTGGGAGATTCTCTCATTCGTTTTCTGATACAGACCTTACGCGACAGTTTTAGACTACTCTCGTGTTTGTCCGCTTAAATATGAGCCTTCAGCGAGCTGCTGGGTGGCTTAGAACAAAAACCAGAAATGGGGAAACTGCTAATAACGGTCACAAAATCAGCCGATCAGCACACACTTTCCTGGGATCCACGCACTCATAGGTAATTAGCTCCGTCCGTTAAAGAAGAGTCTGGCATATTGACGCTTTTTACCTTCATACACACCATCGGAGAGCAGTACAAGTGCTCCTTGGCTGATTTTGTTACTGCTAGACGAAGCCAATAGTTTCCACATCAGGGCTGTCTTTATTTTTAACAGACAGACATGAAAGTGGTCGAACGCTGTCAGAAAGCAAGTGTTTTCCAAAATGTTGAGCTGCTCCTTAACCAAGCTAGCAGGATTTGGTACATTTAAACCACTCTCACGTGACGTGAGTAACATTCATCATCCATGTTCTGCCGGGAAACCTCTGTTTTTGTTTGTTTGTTTGTTTGTTTGTTTGTTTGTTTTTTACACACACCAACCATGCAAGCACACCGCCCTCACTCCCCAGCGTCTCCTCCCAGAAGCCACCACAAATACTGCTCAGGAACAGCATGAAGAACTTGGAAAAGAGCCCAGACACCCAGATTCCAATGTGATCTGCCACCAGAACAAGCCTCATCCTCGGGGGCCACCCCTCCGCCCCGAACTCACAACCCTACAGGACCCGAAGGATCCGCTGCACCGACCCGAAACCACTCGCTCCATCCCTCAGCCGGTCAGAGCTGTTCATCTGAGCAGCTTTGGGAAACTGTTTCGGTCTTTTTGGATGGTTTAATGTTGTGGCTGATGGGTGTATGCGTGCCACCACCCAGTGGACTGTCTGATTGTGCCAGATTTTTGTGTATTTGCACGTAAAAACTAAGCTAAATTATATGTAGTGTTATGAATATAAGGATAGAAGGCAGGCATAGTCTTTGGTGATGAGATATTTGTTCATCTCGGCCTAGAACCAGAGGTATTCATTCAATATTAAGTGTCCTTAAATCTCTGAAGGCTACTTCTGCCAACCTGGCACAGTACTAGGACTGCTGGTTCTGCTCATGTTGTTTATTATTGATAATCGGTTGCACAAGGTAGCTTCAATTTAACACATTGATAGGGGCCGTCATAACTGAGAACACCACCTCTGGGTGAGTTTTGTTTTTGGAAATGTTAAGCTTCCGATCATGTAGCAGGAAGCTTTGCTGTTGGCAATGGAAAGTGTTTTTTGAGGGGGAGGGGTTCAAATTTTATGGAGATTTAGTTTTGCTGTGGAAATGTTTTATTCCGGTTACCCTGCACCTCCCTTTCATCGACTCCTAGCTCTAATTTTTCACATGGACCATGATTGACAGATGTCTTTTGAATAATTTGCCTTTATTTTAATTTGATTAGATTTACTTCTTCTTTTGTCACACTTAATTATCAATTATCTTTTAAAAAATTCTTTAACTTCTTTTTATATCATCCAAATGCAGCTCATTGCCTTCAGTACACGTTTGGAAAATACAATCTAGGCTGTTGTATCACATGATGCGTCTTCCACTTGAGTAAGGAAGAGGCTCTTACAAACTGTTAATCCAGTAAGCTAACTGCCCATAGAGCCTTGTTTTGCTGCTGTAGGGAAGCAAATAGAGATTAGCTTTGATTTCAGGGTGGATGAAGTATAGAAAACCTTTTATATGAAGCAGGTTGATCACAGTTACATACTGCATGTGTAAATATAAAGATCCATGAACTAGCTTCTGATAATACCTGCATAATCGCAACGATTAGTCGTAGATTAGCGGTAGGTAACGACGAAAGCCACTTTATGAAGAAAATCATTGTGTACAAACAGGTATATTTATGAAAATGTTCATATTTAGAATTATACTGTTCAGGCGGCAGATGTAATCTTACTAATTTTTCTTTTCTCGTCATTGTTTCTTTTTGTTTTGTTCTGGGTTTTTTTGTTTTTCTGATGTGGACTATTTTTGTTTTTCACACCAATTAAAGTGTTTGGAGATTCCTTTGTACTCCTGCAGCAGAAGGACAATAAAATGAGTTTTATCAAAGCCAAACGATATCTGCTCGAACAGACACCGGAGAATAAATAATTGTTGTTTTTTTAATCTAATACTTCTCATTATTCTTTCAAAGACTGGAACATTTCAGATTCTCTTTATTAATGTTAAAATCGTAGATGAAGAAAAAACTCACTTGGCTTGATTACAAAGAAGCGGATCGTCATATCAAGCGCTTTAAAAACACTTGCATATTGAAAATGTGAATTTGATCAGATTATTCTAATTTTATAGTAGAGATATTGTATAAATCAGTGTATTATAAACAGGAAAATGTACTGATGTAATAAAAGGATTGTATAACACGAGCAGATGTGTTCTGTGATGTCAGAGCATTGCAATACACAATCATATCGGTTTTCACTTAGTTACACCTGATAAATTTGCATATTGATCTAATCAGCCAATCGTACGGCATCGAGTCGATCCATTTAGGTACACAGACATGGCAACGATGACCAGCTGAAGTTCAAATTAAGCATCAGAATGGGGAAGAACGATGATTTAAGTCATTTTAAACGAGACGAAATACTTTAACTGTGATTTGGCGCTATATGAATGAAAGTGAATTTAATAAATAATGGTTAACTTTTTCACACCCATTTCCAGCTCCATATATATTCTTCCGCTTTGTTCGGTGAACCTCTCGGTTTATTTGATTTAAGCTATACGAGCTCCTTTACGTTTAAAACATTGACCTTTTGTCTGATCGGTACGGAAGAGGATTAGGGCCACAGGGGGGGGGGAAAGTGGGCACGTCTTTTTTATTCTTCTTCTTCTTTTCCTGAATTCTGAGAAAAAAGTCAGAATTCTGACTTTTTTCTCAGATTTTTTTCTCCAGTGGCCCTAATCCTCTTCCGTAAATCGGCCATCTCTTACAAACCAGAGATTTAACCCATTAAAGCCTGAAAATTCTTTTTTTTAATTATTATTATTTTAAATGGTGAGTTTATTAAACCATCTGACAAATTTGTTTAAAAAAAAATAAATTTAACTTCCATATTGACTTTTTTAATGTGTTGTGCAATTGATTTTGGTTTTTCAGAGGGGAAAAGTCACACTGGTGATGTAGTGAAGTCTCAGAAACTGCATATATAAAATATGACACACTCGGCATAACTGCACATACACTGACCTCATATTAAACTATATATAAAATGAGGATCCACCACTGTAAGACTAACATATAAAGAGGAGTCCTTACTGTAGGCTGATTGTGGCAACCACTGCAACACCTGCTAAAAATACATTAAATTCAGTTTTTCCTTTTAAAGAGCTGCCGGTGGTGACTCTTTGGTTCGACTCTGAATCACTTCATTTCCTTTTAAAAAGGGAGGGAAAGAAGCACATCACCTTTGCTCTGATAAAGATTTGGTGGTAATTATAGCAATTACAACAAGGTCCACCTGACAAGTTTTTGCCTCTGTGTAAAACCTCAATAACTGCAAAATTACATCTTTATTTTAGGTGGTACTTTTACAAAGAAGAGGAAGAAGTAATTACACAAAGGAGTATGTTTTAAAATTCTTCAGTTAGTGATTTTCCAAAGTCTTTGCCTTCTTGTTTGTGGATCTACATAATGAGAGTTTCAATATGAGCAGCTACAAAACAAATTCAGCTCAAAGAATTACCTTCAGACCTTCTATCCTTTCATTTGTTAGAAAAGATGAAAGAAACAGGCCACACCTGGCTGCAATTTATTTTTGCTAAACCTCTTGAATTAAAGCTGAAAGTCTGCACTTCAATCACATCTTGATTGCTTCGTTTCAAATCCACTGCTGTGGCGCACAAAGGAAAAAAAAAATATTAAAATTCAGTTTAGATACTGTAAATGCTTTAATAAAAGTTCTGTTACCGTTTCAGACAAAAATCAGTCTCAGCATGAAGTTTACGTCTATATTCACACTCATTCAATTTTTATACAACTCCAGATGACTATACAATAAAAACACAGGATAAATACTGTTTTAAAAACAGGATGTGAAGAAAATCTGTCATTCTGCAGGAACTATGGTATTTTTCTATACTTTAAAACCAGAGCGCTGTACATACGACAGGTCTTCCTCAGGGCCATGGTTGGCAGTTTGGCTAACATGCAAAGAAATGCAGCAGTGTCCCACATTTCCTGCCAGAAAAACTAACAAAACAGGACTGTAGCATAAAAACTGTTTGCTCCAGTGGTCAGTGAGTTCTTATTAACCTACAATAACTGACATTTTTGGACACAACATTGACATTTGGAGTGGCATTTCCAACAGCCTGACAATCTTATAGCTTTCCCCTGCGGGGCCCCTTAGCCAGTGAGTATAGGTACATATACGAGGAGCGTGGGGGGGGGGGGTGTAGAGCGTTTATGTACTGCCGTTGCCAGAAATACAAAAAACAACAACAACAGAGTGTTGAGAGTGAATCAGAAAAGCTGCTGGAAGCGAAGAGAGCTGCAGATGCAGGAGGTCTCTCATTCACACTAAACACAGTCAGTAGATACATTAAAGTAAAAAACAAGACATCTTTAGCCATTTAAGTGTTAAACGATGAGGTTTTATTCTCATTTAGTTCTTTTTAATAGAAGAGCAATCGTTTCATTAGACACATTTGAGCACAGTCTTTGTGAAGCAATTACATTTATGAAATGCTTTGGTTATTTTCTACATGATTCATTAGGCACAGGTTAGCAAGGACCGACTGTAGCCAGGTGTAAATAACCAGGTGCTCTGAATTACAGTTTCTCCTCATGATGGCTGAGAATAAAGACGTTTTATTTCAGACTCTTTGAAACTTGATTAGTGACACTTCAGAATTAATTCTCAGGGTCACTTTGTGTGTTTCCCTCGAGTGGAAAAGTATGTAAACACACACACACAGACAGAAGGAGAAGGCGAGCTTGTAGGTTGGTCAGTTCTTGAAGTCATTTGATTGGCTGGCTGAGGAGCTCACAGCTTGGCGTAGTCCTTCAGGATAACCTCCAGCTTCTGACTCAGCATGATGTTCCCTCTAACCTTCAGCTTGCCAGAGAAGAAGGCCTAACAAAGAAAACAACAAAGAAACACTTGAGCATTTTTTTTTCTTCCCAAAGAGCCACAGTCTCTTCTGTTTAGGAGCCGGCTGGCTGTTAATCGTTTTCAAGAACAAAGAGAGAGCAAAATGGGCCAAGACGCCTGCAGCTAACACCAACAAGGTCTCGGACAAAAGGGAATCTTTGGCTACCGGTTCTCTGGCAGCAGAACAATCAAAGAATATTATATTATTCATATCCACAAGGTACGGAGCCAAGCGTGCAGCAGAGAAGCGCCTTCACTGGGAAAAACTGAACCACTGCCGACTTGTACCGCTTTCCACAGATAAGATTAAAAAAAAAAAAAAAATCAATCACATGATGGGGTTATGATGACCCTGCAATGACAGCGGTGTCCCTTTCAACCCCATCGACTAATCTTCCTCCAGCTGCTCCTTTTCATCATGAGGGAGAGTGGAAAAGCAGCACCCAGCCCGATGACACTCTTTGTTAAGAGCGTGCACACGCGCTCCTCAGATCAATATCAGGCGCTCCGGAAAGCATATAAATTCTTTACAGTAGCCACATCCCATCTGTCATCGCCAGTGACAGATGGGAAGCTACAGACATAACAAGTACTGCCGATTGATTACCCCCGCCGAGAGCTTTCTGATCTGATAGATCATTGCATCCATTATTTTTTTAAAAATCTGACATGACGAGATCAGGGAGGTAGTCGTTACAGACTGAAGGGCTCCTCGAAGGCACTTTCCCTTTAATTACAATGTACTAGAAGTGATTTTAACATCCCAAAGAAGACGTGATTTAAAATATGAGGCTTTTTTTTAAAAAACAAAACCACTTGGTCATAAAAGGATTTCTGCAGGTTTTTGTAAACTTTAACTAAAATATTTACCAGAGTGAGCACAGAAGCTTTACAGAGCATGAAGCAGGTGAGTCACTGTGCAGAATTTTTAAAAAATAAATAAAAACAAGGTCATTCTTCACACAGCAACTAATTAACGTTGTTTTATTACGACTCAACAGTCACCTTCTGAGGGTTGAGCTTCCCCTGCACCACCTCCATGAAGTCTTCGTCCGACACAGTCATGGTCACATCCGCCTTTCCGCCGTAAGGCCCTTTGTGCAATGACCCGCTGCCGCTCTTCAGATCAATGGCTAAAGGAAAACGGCACAGAAGAAAAAAGCTAAATCAAAATCAAAGCTTCAAAATTGACCTGAACGGCTTATTTCAGTTTACATCAGAGGTTCTTCTTCAGCCATTAACCAGTCTCTTTCTGGTTTTAATGGTCCACTGGACAGCAAAATGTCAGTGAGGGTCAGATTAACCCGTGACCTGTGTCTTAACCTTTGTTTCATGGGTGCGCGTGGGAGCCAATCATATGATTTTTTTTTGAGAAAAGAAAGGAGGAGGAAGACAGTCGAGCACAAATTTACTACGGGACACTCCAGTGAGCAGCAGCACAATCAATTTTATGCTGACAGGAGGTTTGCGGCCTTGTAAATCCATCACAAAAATCACTCCCAACCCTCTCTGGGGAAATTTAAATGTGTGAACTCCGAACCACCCGAGCAACATGAGCAGCAGCCTTTTTTGTTAGATATGTTTAGCAGACCAATTACAACACAATAAATCTGCCTGGAATATGTGAACCAACTTCCAAAAGGTTCAAATCTTTATTATTTCTTATTCTTTACTCATGTGCTCCCTTAAGAGTTGTCTAGCGCACCATCTCCCCCCATCTCACACCAGCCCTCTGCATGACCTTCTTCACTACATCCATTCATCTTCTGAGGTCTTCCTCTTTTCGTCCTCCCTGGCAGCTCCATATTTACTCCTCTGCACACATCCAAACCATCTCAGCCTTTCATCTCTTACTTTGTCTCTAGCTGTACCTCTGATGCACTCATTTCTAGTCTTCTCCATCCTGCTTACAAAAATGTTAACATCTGCAACTCCGCCTGCTGTCTTTCTGTCAGAGACACTGTGTCCAAACCATACATCATAGCAGGTCTCACTATCATCTTAGAAACCTTCCCTTTCACTCCTCCAGTCACAAATCACCCCTGATACTTGTCTCCACCCACTTCAGCCCTCTTGTGCACTGTCTGTTGCTTTGCAAGGTTGACCTCAGGTATTTAAACTCTCGCTGTTACACCTTTCCTTACAGACTTTTATTCCTCCACCTCTCCACGCCCTCTTCGATTTCCTTCCGTGTCTCACTGCAGATCACAGTGTAATCTGCAAAAATACTCCACGGGATGTTTGTAGTATTTATTTATTCCACATAT